CCCCTGATTGTCAGAACCCCCTGGTAGAGAGCGGCTGCATGCAGGACAAACGCATTCCCATGTCAGGTAGTCCTGCGCTGAATCTTCCCAAGCCTTTGTGGTCCCGTGCGTTGTTGAAATCCAGGCCCTCCAACAGTCTATCCTGACGCTTGACATTAAGTTTATAACCATCTCGTCTAGGATGGGGCCTGGCTTTTGGGAGTGTCGGGGAGTGGAAGACAGTCTTGGGGAATCTTGGCATCCGCCCTGGATTGTAATTGAGCAACGAGACTCAAGCGCACTTTCTATGTTTGAGCTTTGCAGACGCTTTGGACCAAGTAAACTAGCTGATTCCTGGAAGTCTTGCATAAAGACAAAAGCTCCTTATCCTTATCAGGTGTGGACTTGCATGCCAATTTTCCTCCATGTGCTAGCCTGGAAGTTTAGGGCAACTCTTGCTCGCAGAGGTCCTCACGATCAACCCCCCGAGAGAAGAGCCAAGAACATGCAACCTCAAGGAACCTCAGGCCCACAAGATCAAGTGCGATCCCAAGTTCGAAACTCCAAGGCCTCCCAGATCCTCTAACCTTGAAAGTCCCAATCACTAAACCCTGGCCCCCGTCCTCCGGGGCCGTAATTCCGCGCCGTCCGTGGCGAGCTCATGGGCGTGCCTGGAACTGAAGGCCTGCTGCCATGGAGGAGGCAAAATTCCGAATCAAGCATACATACAATGTTGGGTGTATTGAGGTGGGGCTTAAGGTTTCTGGTTCAGGGACTTCATTTTTGTTTGTTTTTCTTTTCGTTTCGGGCTGTGGGATTTAGGGTTTTAGGCAGTAGTGTTTGAGCAGCATAAATTGGGGCTTATGGCCCGAATTGGAGTTTCATTTTAGTCTCAGTGACCACTAACCATCCATAAGCCTTCAAATATTCTTTGTAATTACCAGGTGTTGATGTACATAGATTGTGCCTTCTGCGCGGATGTCTTCATATGCCGTTCCAAAACACAATCTTACCCCACTTTGGAATACAGAATACCAGCTCATTTGGGGACTAGGGGGCGTAGAACAAGGTTTGGCTTCAGCCGGAGTGGGGGAGATGCACCGTAAACCCCAAGCCCATCTCTTCCAGGAAATTCCGTCTTTGAGATGGAAGGGTTTTTGGATTTTGGGGTCTGTGGCTTCTTCCCCTGCAGGGAGTTTCCTATCAGTGGGAAGCAGCAGTATGCACAGTGCCCTGTAGTCATCTGTAGTCCTTGTATGGCTCTGGTAGGACCCACAACAAAGATCCTATGGAGCCACAGGCCTTCACAATACGCTACCTATAGTCCCCCTTAAGTAGATAGAATATGAGGTTTATTGGGATCTTACTTTCATATGCCCAGAGCCATATTCTATCTACCTAAGGGGGACTATACGTCCCTCAGCCTGCATGCCTGCAGGAGGAAGACGAGGACGAGATCTATTTTGAGGAGGACGACGATGAGACTGGCGAGGCGGAATGGGTCAATCATTATCATGGGTAATTACCCCTAAGTATTACCCCTAAGTAACCTCAATTAAGAGGGGAACCTAGGGGGGGGTGGTATAGAGGGGGAAACCATGACATTAAGCTCGGAGTAGGTTTGGGCTTGCAAGCATTGATTTTTGAAGCTCAAAATTACCACGGTCCCCAGAAAGCCCTTGCAAGCCAAACACGGACATGTTTGTGGCGGTCTCCTAATCTCGCTGAATGGGGCAGCTACTCGTGGCGAGTAGCTTTTGCTTTTCATTTAGGCTGGAAAAATCTCAAGTTGCGTAAAGGTAGTAGAGAATCAAATGGCAAAGAACATGGAATATGCTACCATTCAGGATTCGGAACCGAATGATGATGAAAAAGAATAAGAGATGACATGGACATCGGGATTATTCATACTTATTCATTTTAGGTTTTGGCCTAGGCAGGGCAAACGGCAGGCTATAACCTGGTCATTACCCTATAGTCCCCTATAATTGCTGTAATAGACATTGTTGATGGATCAATTGTTGCTTAAGCAATCCCGGGACATGCAACGCACTAGTGATCTCAGGCGGTGCAAGATTTCCTCTGTCTATAAGCAGTTACAAGTATTGTTTCGTAACATGCCCAGCCAGGTTTTCGTTATACTGGTCTCTGTTGCTGATGCTTCTGCTGTCTTACTGCTGCACCACATCCTTACTGCACGACTCCCCTCAAGATTCTGGGTTGCCTCAGCAGTCCCCCTCCCCCCACACTTGGGTTCCCTTTTACTTAGCCACAAAAAGGAGTCAATGCAATTAAGGCGAAGCCAAGGAGAGGTAGTGTAGGGGAGTTGGTTAGGCAACCCTTTCATAAGAAGAAGCCAGGATGACTACCCTGCGGTTGTCATCGACTGCGGAAGCGAAACTGTGAAGGCCCACGGTCTAGGATTTATGGCCTATAGGGTCTAGGGTGCAAGGCAGAGTGGCAGTGATGGGATCTGGGGGTCGGGAGCTTTTGGTTCTTGATCATGCGTGACGGACCTCCTTCAGGGTTGCTTCGTCTGGCTCGGCTGCTAGAGTCCCCTCAGATCCAGAGTCGGTGGCGGCAAACGTGCCGTACCTGAACGTGGCTTCCAAAATAGTGGGCCCCGTTGTGGTTACTTATGTTGACCGAGCAGCACCTACAGTGTCAATATTTTGGGCAGCTACTGTTATTACTACGACTACTACCACTACTACTACTACTACTACTACTGCTACTGCTACTGCTGCTACATACTACCATAATACCATACTACCACATTACTAGCTTATTACGACTATGTTTACTTATGTGATTTCATTGCTGACCTTGGCATGCTCTGGGCTCTGGGCGGTCCGCTTCCTGGCTCTCCTAAGCCAAGTAGACCCAACTATTGGCCAGTAGCTGCTGGCCTTTGGTTAGCTAGGAATGAAGGAATGAATCCTTATAGTAACCCCACTAAGGGTTTGGGGGTTAGGGTTTGAGGAGGAATGGATCCTTAAAGTAGTCCCTATATAACCCATAATGGTAGTTTTCATTTTCTTTTGTTGAAATGCCTCCATGTTTGTTTGTGAGAATGCACCTCCCTTCCTTGATATGAGAGAGGTTGGCTTCGCCGGTGAGCGCGCGCCGCGCGATGTGTTCCCGACCGTGCTGGGCAGACAGAGGCCTGCCGGAGCTTTGCTGTGAGGGGTTAAGGGTTTAGGGTTTAGGGTTTAGGGTGGATGAGGGGCGGGTGGAGGTTACCGGCGTGTGTGCAGTGATGACATACAGGCTTGCTATTAAGGAATTTAGTTTAAGTTACTATATTGGGGAAACCCTATTATTTACTATATATACCCATTATGGATAGGGCCTGTGCAAGGTTTGTGCCTCACTGCTTTTTAGATATCTGAGAGTGCACGTGGGGGCATGGAGAAGAATCCTTCTACCTAGTACCTTCTATTAGGACCCAAGTACCCACAATTAGGGACCATATATCCCCAATTAAGGGTACAAGGAAGGTCAGGCAGCCTAGGTGTAGGGAGTGAGGCAGGACTGGCTTAGCCCTTCAACCCCGCAGATGTCACAAAATATACCCCAAATAGCCCTATATCTTAGGAGGACCCCCCACCCTGTAATTGTGGTATAGTAGGAACATAATTGGACCGTAATACAATCCTTATTATCCCTTATAGTCACTATTACAGGGTGGGGGGTCCTCCTAACCTATATCCTCATAATTCTATTCCGGGAGGCCGGAATGCTGGCAGACCTGCAGCATAGACTGGTACATCGGCGACGACGCCTGGAAGTGGCGAAGTGCGCTGACTCTGAGGACCAGCAGAGTTTGGAAGATTTTTCATTTTGCTGTCGTAGGTGTGTTGCAAAATACACAGGCTCAAAGTGGGAGGAGCTGCTTAGGCTTGGATGTAGGGATTCTGGGGATGAACGGGCTTTGGGGACTAGGTGGTTTGGCGTTGAAGGCTTGTGGCGAGTCGCAGTATCAGATTCCATGGCTTCGTGCTGTGATTCATTGATGGCTTGCAATCGTTTTGGGTTGCTAAGGTATGGCCTTTGGGTGTTGGTGTACCGGGGGGTGTCCGAAACTGAGCGTTTGCATCCTCATTGGACAACACCCACGGTTGGAGCAGATATGGGTGTTTTGAAGCTAAAACCTCGTTTTGATCTTTGTGCGCTGAGACTCATCATTTTAAGAGCTCTCCCAAAGACCTGAGCTTGAATGAAATGCCCTAGAAACTGAACCTGTGCTCGGCGCCCTCCATCCTACGCCCCATACCCTGTAAGCCGAAACCCCCAAAACCTTAACATCGAAATCCCGATTCCCCCAGACCCTGACCCTGGCCTGTGCTAAGGAGATATCCAATCCAAAGAGGCTCTTTGAACGGTGATTGACACAACGCTGTAAGGGTGTGAGTTCAATGTAGGGTTTAGGGCAGAGACTCATTTGGAGGCATGCATTTCTTTCGTGTGTTACAAGTACAGCATTGAGGAATTTCGGGCTGGTTTGGGTACCTTCCTTCATCAAGCCGGAACTATAGGCTGTTCTACTGTTAAGTTTATGCGTTTTGGCAGTGCAGTTGAACTACTCCTGGTGATCATGTATTCTCTCTATTGACATTTCGTGAGAGCCACCAGGTTGCGCTACATGCTTGATCGACACTACGTATGCGAACCAAAGCAGGTGCTGGTTTCGCCACCAATAGGGACCTAGGGTTTGAATACATGTCTTAAAGGGCTTAGGGTTTGATGGTTACACACGTGTTGAGAAACCCTTAATGTCGACTGAGTCAAGCCGGCTGTGCAATCCAAGTGCTAAATCCAAATCGCGGAGCCCAGGAGCCAAAGCCTACATGTCAAACCCTCCTAAGCGCAACGCGTAAACTCAACCCCAAACCTTAAACTTACTGGGGATTAGGAGGGAAGAAGGGTATGTAATCCTTGCATAATCCTAATATGATATATTCCCTTGCTACTAACCCCCCCAGTGAGTAAACCATGTTTCGCAGTGTTGGGTCCTGTAGGCCTGGTAACCAACTGGGACGACATGGAGAAGACTCCTGGTCCGGAATGAGTGCTTTTTCATTCATTTTTGTCTGTGTGTGTGCGCGTGTGTTTGGGTTTGGGGCTGTACGAACCCTATTATGGTAGTTTCCATTTTATTTTCCATTATCCCTATACTACCCCAATATATAATAGTAGTTTCCATTTTATTTTCCATTATCCCTATCAAACCCCAATATATAGAGGGATGCTGCTTGATGTTCTGGCCCAGTCCGGGGATTCTGGGTTCTGGTCCAGGAGTGCTTAGGCCAGAAGTATATAAGGATTACACAGGGGTTATATAAGCATTATATAGGGGTTATATAGGGTTATATTGGGGTTATATTCGGGATATATTGGGGATATATTGGGATAATGGAAAAGGAAATGGAAACTACTACGCCAGACCCTAAACGCAACTTCCAAACCCCATACCCGCAACTCTGAAAGAGCATGACTTTTTTGATGTTGAAGGTTTGGGGTTTCCTTACTGGGGGTTAGTAGGAATAAGAGAATATAATCCCGATATAGTACCTGTAGAATTTATTCTCCTATTCCTTACTATCCCGGAATCCTAAACCCTAAACAGTAGTTTCCATTTTCTTTTCCATTATCCTTGTATAATCCCTATATTATGCCCCTATAGTCCCTTATTTGCTAGTAGGTTTCTTAGGTTTAGGCCACCAACCTGGCATGCGTCATCTTGAGCTGTGGGTTCCCAACGCAGATTTCCGTTGGGGTATGCAAGCGCCAGCAGTTGCCATAGCCGTAGCCCCAGAAATCATAACACAAATCCACTGGCCCCCCGAAAAACAGTACGGAAGACCAATACTGGAGACTTAAATGGAAAGGGACATGGAGAATAAAATAGCAACAGGATTATTTGGTGGTTCACACGGATAAGGGTTTTCAAGCTGAGGGGCTTCTCCTCAGGGGTCCCTGAATTCTGGATTATAGTATAGTACATTGGGGTTTACATTAGGAGCTCTTATGTTCGGAGACCCCATATAGGCACATAGGACCCTTCTAACCATTTCTCCATTTTCGTTCCGTGTTCGGTTTCGGGAGTGCACGCAGAAGGGATCCCTGTCTGTGTTGTTAGCGCATTCCTTGGAGAATTCCCTCGAAGCCTTGCCTTTCCACCGGTCCCCGTCCGCCAATCATGTCAACTGTGACTCTTGGAGTGGTTTAACTTAAGGCCTCAGGGTTTCGGATGCATAGGAGTTAGTAATAGGAATAGGAATAGGTATAATAGTAGAACCAGTTATGTTAAATAGTACTTAGTAAACGTGGATTAAGGCTTAAGGACTCTTAGCCTCGGATTATCCCTGTGAGGCGCTATACCCAGGCCCTTTCTGTTCATGTCATGCAGCCTTTTCCCTACCCCCTTCTCCCAGATATACAACACAACAGAATCCTTGTGCCATGAAACCATCCACAAGGGGGTGTAACTTGCAAAAATCAGCTTTCATGGGTCTTGGTCTCTAACCAAAACCTTAACCTTCAAAAAGAAGCCCCACCTTATCCCCAAGAGGTGCTCGCATGATTTTGGATCCCGTGCCGCTAAGGATATGGCGTCACGCCTTCTGCAACCAATTGCGCCTCGATCCGCGCCTGCACCCGGTGCTACTCACTGAGGCGACTTTCGGGATTTCTTTTTGCTCTGAAGCGTCAGTCCTAAACCGGCCATGATTCCCCGACTTAGTAGATCAGAAGTCGCTATGTGCCCAGGCCTCTGTCTTGTTGGGAAGGGGTTGAGGACTAGGTTTGGGGCGTGCGTGGAAAAGTGTTTCAAGCTTATGTCTTACGTCATGGCCTCAAAACACCTTCCACCCCTCGACCCCAGCATCAAAGCGGATGATTTAGACAACTGCCCAGGGTATTTTTTCTCACCCCTCCCCACCAACATGTGCGTCCCAACGCACTCAAGTTTTATTGCCTTCCTCAAAAACAACAGGAAGATACAGTAGGGGATGAAGGAAACTTGCGAGGGGCTTCCTAAATTTCAGCTTCTTTGTCCTTCAGGATAAATAAACACCTCCAAGCCCAGCTTGGATTAAACATATGGGTGGTTGTCCAAATTATGGTCTTTTTTTTGGGTCCCCATTATAATACGGCCCCGAATATTTAGGGTACCCAAACAGGGACCATATTTTTGACAACCAATCATATTTTCAACCAATTTAAATGCTATGGAGTGGGGGGATCTGGAGTCTGAGGGCGAAGGCATCCCTAAATCAAAGCCCCAAACCTGTAGTCTTTGTAGGATTTTTCCCTTTTTATAGTATAACCCTGGGGAAATATTCTGAATACTATTCTATTCCCAGTATATTAGGTCTAGGGGGATTACAGAAACCTCTCCACCTGAATCAAATGGGCCCTAAACCCTAAACCCTAAACCCCTAAACCCTAAACCCTAAACCCCTAAGCCCTAAACCCTAAACCCTAAACCCTGGGATCCTTTCAGGCTCCCAGGGCAGGCATTGAAAGCACCTGAAGCCTGCGGCAGGTTCCGCTGAATCCGAAGAATAGTCGGGAGCGGCTGACGCAAGCAGCTGTGAGCAGATAGAGTTATGGTCTAGGAGTTAGGGGGTTTGGGTTTTGCTTGCGTTTTGGGGGGTTTACGGTCTAGGGTTTAAGGTTCAATCTTGGGAGCTAAGACCGCTAGGATGAATTCGGTGAGCGTTTCTCGAAGTTCGGCTACTCGGATATACCTTGAAAACCTATGGTCGCCATCACAGTATACCCTGAAAGCACCCAATAGACATTGCCGGCTCCACTTCCTAGACCTTTGTATCCTATACAGGAGTGTACGCAGATACCTGACCGCCCTAAACCCTAAACCCTTCAAACCTTAAGCCCTTAAGAAGGAGTCTTGATTTGGTTGTAGACCTTGCTACATCCCAAACATCAAGAGATGCACCGTGCGCGTAAACAAAATCCGCGATCCTAAGTTCCTAAAGCCCAAAACCATCCCTAGCCCCTTAAACCCCAAACCTCGGGGACCCCGCATAGACTCTGGCATATCATAGTCCTGATTGTGGGAACCCCTGAAATGGTACCCTCAATTTTGGGAACCCCGCCAAATCCCAAGCACACCCCTCAGTCCTAAACCCTAAATCCTAAATCCCAAATCCTAAACGCCTGAGGTCATTTTTGAGAGCTTCAGCGTGCCTGCCATGTACTTGACACAGCAGGCAGTGCTGGCTCTGCGCCTGGGCTGAGACTGCAGGGTTCAAGGTTCAGGGTTCAGGGCTGAGAGGCAAGACTTTTGGGCTTAAGCCTTAGGGTTTTGGGCTTAGGGTTTAGAGCTTGGGATTTAGGGCTCAGGATTTAGGGCTAAGGGTTTATTTAGGTTTTAGGGCTTAGTGTTTCGGGTTTAGGGTTTAGCGCTTTGGGATTCTACATGGGATGCTGGGATGCACACATGTGCGACAGAGGGTTGCCGGAACTGGGGGTCCCTTTTTTGGGGAGTACCTTTTAAAACGATTGAGTATATTAAATGCTTTTTTGGGTTCTTTATTTTGGAAACCCCCAAAGATGTTTACACAGGTAGGTAGATATGTTTGCAAAAAGCTTTAATTATCAGAATTGTATACCTGACATGTCTGCAATCATGGGGATTTTCCCAAATAAGATTCGGGCTATAAATTGGGCCCCACCCAGTAGGTTCATCTTGAGGGCTATACATAGATATTCCAAGATTACCAAGCTGTTGCAGTTGGGTGGCAGTAGCCAAGCTATGAATTAGGGTGTGGCAAGAGGGTTAGATGCTGAGGAGCCCACGATGACAGCTCAGGTTTGATGTCTGAAGGCTTGTTTAAGTGTCCGAATGGGGCTGTAATGTAGGCTGAACCTGAAACCTTGAGCCCCCCTACACTCACAAATTGTTAGTTCGTTTCTCCCGAAAACGAAGCCACAGCCACATGGAGTCTGTGTTTGCAAGTGACTGCGCATTCAGGTACTCGTCTGGCCGCACGACGGGAGTTTCCTGTGCTGCATGTGTTTGTTATCAGGTTCTGACGCCAGGGCTTAGGGCCTATGTGGCTGGTGCATGTCGAGAAAATATTTTGCATAGCTTTTGTATAGGGGGCTATCCGGCTACATACCCAAGAGTACCCAAGCACCTCACTAGGCAGTTCATGCATCCTACCTTCACAAGATATCCATCCTAGGCCCTAAGCCGTAGGCTTCAAATCCTAATCCTGAACCTGCACTCGTTACTAGTATTGTTTTTCTTATGAACATGACTATTGCTGTTATTACTGTTATTACTTCTATGCATGTTACCGCTATCATTAGTACTAGCACTATTCGGAATCTAGGGCATCATCAGTTCGGTCTTTCCCCTGGAGTCCCGAGCTTCCAATGCTACAGGAAGAAGATGCATGGTTCATTTTCAGATGAGCTATATTAAAAACTCCTTAAAGGGGGCTCATCTAGGGGGATTATATAGGGGACCATATAAGGGGTTATTAAGGGGGATACTAGGAGTCTAGACTATGGCCCAGATTCTGTGAGTTCAACAGGCCACCTAAGAGCCAGACTGTGGCGATGATGGGTTGCTTTATCAGTCCAAACACCTTTCTGGGTGACGCATTGGGCCCTAAACCCTATACCCTGTAATCCTAAACCCTAAAGCCTATACCTGTAACCCCAAGCCCTAAAGCCTAAAGCCTATACCTGTAACCCTAAGCCCAACCACCCCTAGAGAAAAAGAATTGGGCCTTTCATGCACATCAGCGTCCCTCGTTGCTGGATTGCACACATCACTCACCCTGTTGGCCTGGCCGGCGCCAAATCTTTGTTCAACATGCTAACATTATTTGTAGTATTACGTATGATGAAGGTGATTATTATGATAGTGAGTTCTATTATTAGGAATTGATGATACTACTGTTTAGGTTGACAAGTGCCCTGCAAGTTTGAGATCCTCTCAGCCTGGTGCATTGATCAGGTCGTGGTTGATTGTGGTGCCGAAGTATCTCAGGCGCGAACGTTCTCCATGAGTCCATTCGCAAGTAGGATAAGAACCCCTATAACCCATATAGTAACCCTCACTATCCCCATTATTAACCTTTACCAAGTCCTCGTCATTGTACGGGGGTCCCTGAGCCCTGTGCAGGCTTGAGTCAGAACACGGCTGGGGATAAAGTCTATCTTGAGGGAGAATCGCGCTAATGAAATGGGAGTTGCAGGGTACGACTTTCAGGTTCTTGCGGGTTTGTAGTCGACGGCTCGTGAGCCCATGGGGACGGTCCCGAGCTTCGGAGGAAACTACTTCCACAAGGGCATTGCAGGTTCACTGAGGAGTGCCAATGGCGAAATCATAGATTGTTGAACTCGTGGGTCCCCGGGAACAGGCTGTAGGTCTAGAGCTTAGGTTTTGAGGTTTTGGACCTCGGGCTTCACCATTGGAGAGGAGTTTCCTTCTCAACTTTTTAATATGCTGAGGCACAATTTGCTCACGCACACGCAACAAAATGATGTTCCATTCCTAGAGGCTTTCCCTTGACAACATTTCTCGAACGTGCATAGAGAACCTTCATCTGTCAGATCCTCACGCAGCCCGTGCTACCAGACAACTCCTTGCTGCAGTACGCTCCGTGATCCTTTGAACTTGTACGGTATACGATATATCGCACTAGTAAACTCTTACACCATCCTCCTGATGCCACATCACCTCGATACTTGGATATTTTCTCCCCAGCAGTCACCATCCTTGAAAGGTTGTACCTGTCTGCGAGGGCCAGATTCTGCAACTCAGCACGTGTTTAGATTTGCGACACCCCTTGGGGTCCGGCTGAGATATTTCCAGTCCAAGTATTAGCAGTGTTTGGAGCTGCAGTTTGCGTCGCCTTCAAGGTGCTTACAAGCAGCTGAAGCGTCTTGCACTAGGCTTTGTGAACCAACTATGGGGCTTCGTACGGGGCTTCGCTGGGCTTCGTAGGGCTCCCCGCCTGAGTCTATACGCATGTGCCGCCCGCTGCTTTGCAATAGTCCGCGCGATTTCTATGAACACCTTGATGTATTTCGTATTGGTACCCTGGGCCTGAGCTTGAACCTCCTGCTTTCTTCAGATCGCTAGTTTCCAAAGTGAGGGGCCCATTCTGCGCGGCAAAAAAGGTGCAGCTTTAGAATGGTTAGCAAACGGTCCCCAACCACCAAGTCTTCCTTTCCAAGCACAAGGCTAAACCTTAGTGTAGAGCCATCCCAGCCGAGCCCAATTCCTTTAAGCCTCCTGCCTAAACCTTTTTTCTGCAAACCCTCAGCCCTTCACCTGAACGCTTATATGACTAACCTTTTAGGCCTCATGCCGTGCGCCGGCTGGAGCTGGGCGGCCGAGACTTGAACGAGTACCTTCTGAAGGCTCAGTTTGGATAGATGGGCATCAGAAGAGAAGGATGATTGGGGTCCCCCTTAAGCATTCTTTAGAGAGATGTCCCCAGCAGCAAAGGGACGGGTTTCGTTTCGGAGCCATTTCATGAAACGTCTTTTGAACGCGTATGCCTAGCTAGCATGATGCGTTTCGTCATGGGCTGCGACAGGCGGAAAGTCCGACCCACCCCCCCTGTTCCCCGTAGACTCCCAACACGGGTCCGGAGACTTCCGCCGGAACTAATATGTAGTACATCTTCGAAACGGCATATTCATTACTCCTCTGGCAGGGCCTATGAAAATTGTATGGTAGACCCCTCCGCTACTCGGCAAGATCTTGTACTTCTATCTTCTGGCTGATACGGCCAGTAGCTCGAAACTTTCGGACTACCGACGCGTTGCAGACAGCGAAGCGGTGGGGTCTCCTGCCCTGGGTTCCGGGGTGGGCCCCTGAGGGTCACGAAGCGGGTTCTGGAGCGGGTTCCGGGCGGGTCTTGTTCGGGAAGCGTACAAGCGCAAGAATCTTCTCCGTTAGCTGTTGGAGCTGCAAGAAACCCCGCAAAGTGTAGGGTGCTGGGCTTTCGGATTCAAGTGTTCAAAGTTAAAGGTTTAGGGTCCTTGTATTTAGGATTTAAGGTTTTCATCGGTGCAACGGGCTTCATGGGTTTTTGAGTTTTTTATTGAGGTGTGTTTGTTGGGTTTGAAATAGGGCATCTTATGATTGTTGGGTTTTGCTCCTAAACCCTCAGCTCTACGACCTTGAGCTGCGTGTACAACGGCTCAAGGTTTTCCAACAAGGAATTCGGCTTTGATGTCGGAAACATGTTGTAGTGTTTATGGTATGCAAGTTTTAAGGTTCTTCATTGCTAGTTTGTATTTACTTGCCCCCCAAAGTAACATGGAGTCCGCTGCGAAAATGCCGTCCCTGGAAAAGGAGTTCCTATGTCTTGTATATACCCCATAGACGCACCCATACCCTGTACCCCTCTTATTCCCGACGCAGCCCTGGTAGAGTCATTGATTCAAAAAAATCGGTTTTGGGGCAGGGTAGGATGACTCCAAGGTTGTCACAAGTTTCTTGTTTAGGGTTCGGGGTTTGTCGTTTGCGCAGGGGAGCGTAAGGTTTGGTGGATCAGATTTAGGGCATCCCCTCCATGTTCCCAATCCGTAAACAGACCCTGCAAGGTGCTTGCCAAGAAGGATTTCAAGTTCACCACTTCCTTTGAGAAAGCCATCGTCGCCGATCTCAAGGCTTGCGCGAAGTGGCATACCATTTTGGATTTAGGTCTGATTCGGGGTGTAAGGCAGTCAGGATGTTGGGTTTAGCTTAGGATGTACGGCGTAGGGTCTAGGGTCCAGGGGTGGATGAGGGAAGTCTTGCCGAACTTTCTGTATCACATGCCCTTGGAAGTGCAACACTTTGGGGATCTGAGCTGGTCCGAAGCGACGAATGGGGCCACCTTCTTGGAAAAGGCCTCTCCACATTTTGGCGCATGCCGTCCAGGCCAGTTGAAACTAGGGAACACTGCTTGGTCACAGTTTCTTCGAAAGCGAAGTGTGTGCTGATCTAACCTACTGGTTCTTGGTGGGGAATATTTCTTTATAAAGAATTTCTCTTAATCCCTACTCCTGCTTCACCCGAAGAGCTGTTTAACCTTACATGCCGCCATACATTCCCGAAAAGGAAAAGCTCTGCTACGTCTGCCGTGACTACCAGAGTGAAGAAATGCGCCGCGACTGCTCGGTTTGTTTCTGATTCCAAACGGTAACTGTCGGGTTTTCCGAGAATTGGGGCTTCCCTGTAGGATCCTTTTAATGGGGCTCCTGGTGTCTTCAGGGGTTGGAAACTTCAGGGCAGGCTTCTCAAACGGTGGTTATCCTAGCGATCTTACGGATATATGCGGAGTACGATAACATTCTAGAAGTCCCCCTTAAAGATAAGGGACCAGTTTGTGGGGAGTGCTACACCAGAGCAGAAGGAACCAAACACTAGCCTGTCCATCTTCTTACTATCACCCTCTTTCTACTAGAGTTCTTATAGTCATTACTATGATCAAGCAAGCCTAGCGGGCGAGTTTATGCAAAAGGCTTAGATGAATTCTCGTTGTCCAGAGGTCTAGCTGAACAATATATATTGGGACCGTTGTTTTGGGATCGGGAGTTTTTAGCATTCGAGGGAATCGATGCCTTGTATCCTAGATGTCAGCCCTGAACTTTATGTCCTTATTACACCTTGCGCCCTAAGCCCTGAAGTGAGCCCCAAGAATCCAAAGCCCAGGCCCGAAACCCTCCCAAAAAAAGTCAAGTCCCCGAACCATAAGCATAACCATAACTCCGAGGTTGTGCCCCTACAAGCTAGCATACCATAACCGTGAAGGAGTCAAAGCGGAGAATCTTTTGAGCATTGACTTCCAGTAACATTTTTCAGACTTCCATGATGGGCTCAAACAGGTTCGTCGGAGTAGCCGTTGCGTTCGAATGAATGCCATTTCCGACTCCTTAGCCCTGAGCCCTGAATTCAGAACCCCAGGCTCTAAATCCTAAATACCTCAACCCTCAAGCGCCAACCTTGAACCCCCGACAGATTGCCTGCAAGCCCAGGAAGGTGAGATGTCAGGAATTCAAGGATCGGCCCTTTGTGTCTCAGCTGAACATGTGGAGAAGTTTGCTTTGGAAGGGCACGTTTTGAGAGACTTGGGGGTTTCTCATAACTACGGGCTTTCGAAAGCGTGTCATAGGGAATATGTAACTGGGGCTAAGTTGCGGAGCACCTCTGAAAGGTTCAAGAAACCAGCGGCATGGTGAATCAATCTCTGGCTGGAGGCATTTCATTTGCTTATGTCATGAACGTTGTACAGCCACAGGCAGTCGCCCTGCCCGGCCAAATGCTTCAAAGAGCCACACAGTTTTTCCGTATGCCATGACAGTCCTAAGGCCGTAGAGATTGAGCCTCGCCCGCCCCAGACCTATGACATGTGGAGCCCTTTGCAGTCAAAGCCCCTTGACCCCCAAGCCAAGAGCTTCAACCCAGCAGCCCGCAACCACACAAACCTGAAAGCCCCTGTCCCCTGTCCCCAACGTTTGAAGCCACAAGCCCTGACCTTAAAACCATGAAGCGGCCGGGGGCTTGATTTCTGGCGACGGAGGAACTGCCGGACGGGAGTGTCGTGATGGTGGGCACCTGGGCTGAAAAGCAACGCCCCTGTAGTCACAGCTTCCGCTCCACTCTCTCTCTCTCTCTCTCTCTCTGCCTGTCCGTCTCTGTGTCTGTATATGCAAGAACACGATGCGTAGATATAGAGTCCTCATCTAATGGCTCCCAGGAGTGTTTGATCACCAAAAAAAACTACAAGAACATCCCAACCTTGACCCCACCAAAACCATAAACTCTACAACTTCAAATGGCCCACCCCACCTCCACCCGCCCCGAAGCAGCTCAAACCCTCCAAAATCCACATTCAACCCGAGGACCGGAGCGCTTCCGTTGTCCCGAGATGTTGTTCCAGCTACCTGACTGGAATCAAACGAATCTATGGAAGTTGTAGGCCTGAAGCAGAGGGCTGCAGAGGAAGAGAAGGCGCAAATGCCACCTTCAGATTTGGTAATGGATCCCCATGCCAGCTTCTTCCCGTCCCTTGCAGGAACGCCCGTGATGTATTCCTTCATTCCCAACAAAAAGCCTTACCCCAATCCCTACACCCACAAACCGAAAATCCCTAAACGCTTAAACCCTAAGTCCATAAATCTACATACCTGGCACTCTCAAAACCTTGAAAGCACCTGACCGAATCGTGGCAGCCCAGGCCCAGTTTGTTTGGGAAGGACGAAATCGGAATCCAGCGACTTGATTTTGTTCTCAGGGTTATCGTTTTTTTCCCCTACTTCCTGGTTTAAGTGTTAATGTTTGGAGCTTGTAAGGAAATACTGTAGTGTTCTGGATGTACGGCGATGCTTAGTGGGGGATTGGGTTATAGGGATGTTTGGGTGGATATATTGCAGGAAAATGGGGGCTAGTGGATCAATTCCGCCATTCCCATTGGGGGTCGTGCTGAAATCGGGGGTTCTCAGTTTTTGATTTCTTGGCGGGGCAGCGGAGTTCTGCAGACTTTTGCTTGCGGTCTCGGGATTTTTCAGCTCTTGGGCTGTTCTGCAAGTGGTTGCTTCAGTGTGATGGGTAAAAATCCCGCATGACCCTAAGTACTTTGTATTTTTGGAATTAGCTTGGCATCATATAACCTTCTAATTCCTGAGCGGGTGTTTCAATCTATGCTTCCGCCATCTGCCGCATCGATTACCGTTTATCCTTGTTAGAGCTTTAGACCTAAATCGCAACGAACTGTTGATATCCACTGTCTTAAGCTTTTTTAAGCCAGAGGTCTTGGGAATGTCAGGAAGGTTTCCTGAGAGCCCGCTGAGGCGCCTGCTCTACCAGGCTATCAGGCCTCTCGGATGCGCTGGGGTGAGCAAGTGTGGTGCTTGTGGCACTTCTGTTTCTGTTCCTTTCACACCCTCAGCCACATGAAGCTGTTAGACCTGAATATCTTCCCCTGCCCAATGAGTTATAAACCCCAAACTGGCCACTGGCAGGTAGGGGCAGTCATAGTCGGAGAATCACAGCTCCATGCCGCGCCTCTAACCCAGCAGATAAAGCCTGTTTTCAAAGTCCCGCAAAAACGCTGTCAAATTCAACTTCGGTAGTGACTCCCTGGAAGGTCCTGCAACCTCAACATCCGTGGCGACCTTGCTGGCAACGTTGTTCTGGCGGGTGGCTCCAGCCCTTTGGGCGCTGTATTTTGTAGGCTTCAGACTTGGGTTCTAGGATTGGGGTTAGGGTTCAGGGTTTAGGGCTTAGGGTTTACGGAGCAACTGTACTTTGGCAGCTGCCTTTTGTGGATGTTGGAAGGCCCAGAAACAGCCCAAAGTGTTCAGAATTGCATTCTAGTACTTCAAAAACCTCCAAAAGCATTTGGTCCAAGTAGCCCAGTCTGTTGGGGCGCCAGGCTCTGCAGCATTTTTTGCGACTCCGAAATTTTGTCCACCTAGGAGCACATGCAAAAGGTACTTCAGTCCAGTGCTCAACATGGGCTCTCTGCACCAAGGCCTGCAGTCAGCAGAGGACTCCTTATGTCAGAAGTAGCCAGATGTTGCCGAGATGTAGAATTGAACAGAGCGGTGTTCTGCTGATCACCACACATGTCCTGCAATCGGGATAAGGATAAGAATGGACCGTTAGATCATTGTCACAAGAACGACAGAGGAACACTGACAGCAGCTAAGTGTCACAGGCAACACATATTAAATACTGGGCCGTCCAACTTAACAGCCCAGCGACTTCCAGCTTTGTGTTTCCTTTCCAGCTATGCAGCGGCGAAGAAGTTTCTTTTGATGAAGCGTTGAGAAGAAGAGTTTGTTGGCCCTTTCCTCCTGAAACATCCCTCAAACCTCATCCCTCAATTTTGCCCAACAGCCCCATGATGAATTCTGCTTGTTCTGCATATTCCCAACCTGCTTCCCTCGACAGAGTGCACCCTCCCCTTAGCTGAAAGCATACTTATAGGGTAGTTGCTGTTGCTGGAGCACAAGTCATGAGCTTATAGGGGATAGCAACCAAAACCGCGAGACAAACCCGGCGACCACAAAAAGAGACCCTGAAACCTAAAATCCAAAACCCACAGCCCATGTACATGTTTGCATATACACATATGTGTGTAGCTGGAGATCGATAGATAGACATGTCTGTCCCATACATCTATCTATATTTCCACAACCCCCAGACAAGCCTCAATATACCTTGGATGCTGCCCCCACCCTGTAACAGTTAGATAATATTCATAGAATAGTTATCTATAGCCCTGAATATGATCCCCTAATATAGACTGTTACAGAATGGGGCCAGTACCCAAACCCTTAACCCTAAACTACCCAGTCCCAAAGCACCAGATCCAACCGAGGTCTCTTTGACGGCATGCCTGAGCGGATCCGTGTTGAGCTCGAGGACCCTTCCTGCTGGACATACATTACAGGGAGGTCTATAGTATAGGGGAGTATTCATAGAGGTTGCTAATGGGGATACGAGGAGTTTAGACTATAGCTCACATTGTAAGGGGTGGTTATGAGGCTTTGGTTTTAGGGTTCAGGGTTTTACTTACATCATACAGGATATGCATGGGGCTTCTGGAAAGGGACCCCCTTCTACGGAACTCCTAGTCACTATATAGGAATCCCAGACAAGGGAAATCTATTTTTGGATCCCTGTTTTGCCATGCAGATATCCTCATTGTTACATTGTTGGGACCTGAGAGAGCGGACTACGTCATTCTGGTATGGTACAGACATGACTCATGACAATCATTGCTCTTGTCGCCAGCGGCAGCAGCATAGGAGGAGCAAAAGCAGGAGCAGCACGAGAAGCAGCAGCACTGCCAGCATCAGCAGCAGCTGCACAACAATGAGCAGCTGCAAGCAGCAGCACCAGCAACGCTAGTCAGATTACTGTCAATGTTCCCAAATAGGCCTTTCGGATTGCTATCCTCTTGTAGTCCTGATACATGTTCAGTAATTAGTAGAAGTGCCCTGAAGCCTAACCCAGATGTTCAGGCCCATACAGGAGAGAAAATCTGTTGATCCTGATAAGTCTGATAAGTGCGCGGCGAGCGAAACCTAACACCCAAAGTGTAGATCCGGAGGCCTATACCTTGAAAGCCCCTGAACCTTAAAGTGTTCAGAACACTTGCCATGTAAATTGATCTTGCAGTTGTTGTTCATATTTCTTTGGAGCCACTTGCTATGACTAGTCTCTTTACTTCCTGACTTTCCAGAGTCCGTTGCTGGAAGGCCCTGGTGGAGGGCAGGGTGATCGTGAAGGCAAGCACACTTTTCGAAGCATGCTTTTGTTTGTCAGGTTGTAGGATCGGGGTTTTATGCATCAACTTGGTGCAGATTCTAAGCGTTGATTCAAAGCTTTGGGGTTTGGGGATCGTGCAGGGATGAAAGGACATGCCCATGTTTCCGCAAGGCCTCTGTTTTGTTAGGTCTCGGTGTTCCTTTCAGTGGGGTCCTGCATGGCCCGATACCAGTTTGCAAACGCTTAACGGATGCTCTTGACAGCTTCCATTTTGAGGGTTCTCATGGCCTCTGTCTGGTCATTGGGCCTTACTGGAAAAGTTACACTTGAGGAAGTGGAGGGTCTCCAACTGTCTTTTCTTACACCCTTATGAGTCCTGCAGTTGCCCCAGAGGGCTTATGGCAGCTTCCAACGCGCGAGAGCTGGGATTTACGGGATAATGCTTTGGGCCTAAATTCAGAACTTGAAACGTTGGTAGTAACATTTTTGTATTTTGCGGTGATTAATTACAACGTCCGGGCAGCCTGTCTCTACCTAGCTTAGCGCGGGCACCAGCATCCCCAAATACTATCGGGAATGCACGGATGGATCCCCTAGTGGTCCGTCTGTATCTCCTTAGGATGGTCCTTATAATCCATTTCCCTTTACTGTCTCATTGCCTGGGAGCAAACTCAGTACTAGATGCCCTTTGGGCCTGAGGACTAAACGAAAAGAGCTTCAAAGCTCAAAGGTCTTGAAGGGTTTGGGGTTTGGGAGTTCGGGCTTTCACGGCCTCCAATCCAACGTAAGCCCCCTTCTCAAAAGGATAGTTGTTCGTGCGGGATCCCGCGTCATTGTGCTTGAGGGTACGCTTTTCACATTGATCTCTATGCTTGCTGATGAGATCAGTGTCAAAGATTCTTATGAACGATGTTTAAAGCCTCTGAAGCCTGTCCCTTCGTGATGCCCCGTACGGAAATCTTCTAACGCTTATTGAAATCCTTCTATGGCTGGTAAAGATGCCTAGAACGTATTGAGTTCTACGAACCTTTCAGAGTTCCCCGGGTGACTGTATTCACAAAAACCACAACTCCCCCATGGCCCATTGTTTAACAGCACGATATAAAACTCCTCCAGAAGCCTGCTAGAGTTCTTGTGTAGCCACTTTGCCATTCTTACACCTACTGGGAATTAGTAGGGAATGAGGGCATATAATCCTCACATAATCCCTATATGATTTTTCCCCTTATTACCTACTAACCCCCAGTAAGTACAAGATACCGGTGAGCCAGAGCCAGTGTAAGCTCTCCCTGCGGACCTGCAGGTGACGGCGGAACCCATGCGGAAGCACCTGGGGCGGTTTGGGGACTCCGTATGGAAGGGACAGTATTGTGGGTTCAAATTGCCACCTCCCCCTAGTTAGTGCAAACCTCCGCAGGTCAAACATGTAGCGTAGTGCTTTCAGAAAGTCTTTGGTAAGAGTGCGGTGGTGATAGTATGAGTACTTTTGTTAATGGTAATGACCAGAGTAGTAGTTACAGCAATACTCGCAATAGCATCGGCAAATGCATGAAAATTGCCACAACAAGGTGATGTTTTGATTGTAACCGCTGAGACAATTTTTGTCTGAGTCCTGGAATGTATGATGCTAATCTGAGGTTACGTATTTTCATATCGATGAGGATGTAATGAGTCTTCAGAGGGAATCAGGCTCGTTCAGGTAGCTGTCTTCATTCCCAGCACCCACACTACTTTGGCGAGGTAGTTAGGAGGATGGACCCGTTCTTTGTTGAGTTGCCTGCCCAAGATTCTAGCCGTGAACTTCAAAAAGCAGCAGCCAGCCGTGATTTCTTGTGGTTGAGCTCCAGAAGAGTGACCCCCACTAGCAGTCACATCCCAAGCCATACATCCTCAACCCCAGAACACAATCTCTGAACCCTGAATCTTGAACCAACATTCCTTTCAATCCACTCCTGGACGCTGACAGCCGCGACCCTCCCCTCCGAAACCTCACTCCTGAATTCGCAATCTAAATCCCTAAATGACTGAGCCCTAGAACGCCTCAGCCCCAATAAGCCCTGAACCCTGAAACCTAACATAGCCTAAGATTTCTCTGTAAGTAATGGATCAGGTACTGCACCTGGATGGGCGGCTCCCTTTTGGCTTCCCTTGGCACCTTCCAGCACATGTGGATCGCGCGAGAGGCACACGACCTGCAGAGATTGCAGAGGGATTTGGGTTGTGGTTTGAAGGTTGAGGCCTCTGGGCTTCAGAGCCTGAGGATACACAAGTTGAGGCTTGGGATTCAGGACTTTCAATTTCGCTTGGGGATGCAGGAACTAGGGTTAAGCATTTGCAGGGTTTGTAGGATGGGGTTAATCCAGGATCCTACAGTCCTGGGTGGCTTCTGCCTTGGATAAGAAAATGAGGTCCATGTTCTGCTGGTGCTATTCAAATTCTCTCCTTGATATGCGAGTTTCTGGACACCCTTTGTTGACACCTACCGGGCCGGGCTGTTCTTCTGACCTCAATCAGTCTTCGTACTTGCGCGGTGCTTAATCTCGAACCCAAAGCCCTAAGCCTCTAATGTCCGAAGGCCCTGGTAAGATCTCCAACCTAGCAGCCTTGTATCCAGGAGTACGATGACGAGGGGCCTGAGATCGTGCATGGCCGATGCTACTGAAGCTTGCAGTCTGTACGTTCCTTGGTCTCAGCTCCGGAGCGGATGTCTGCAGGATGTTCCTCATGACTTTCAGTGCCCCGATGTGTGTCAACCTGTCAGAATTAAGAGGACTTCCCCGAGAGTTGGTTGGGCAACAGTGTTTTGCTGCATTAGGAGGTGAGTTGAGGCCTGAGTTCCCGAAGGTCCTGGCAGCGTGTTGCCACAGGAAGCAGAGTTTCACTGCGCTGTGCCCCGTTTCCGAATCTGAGGGCAGGAGCCCTTTGCCCTACCAATGCGTCCACGCAAGGGATGGAGACTTAACATGAACCGTTTCTACACTCTTCATAGGGATTATCTGAGGGGTTATATAGGGGACAACATTCTAGGGGTTATTAAGGGGATACTAGGAGTTTAGACTATGACTCAGATGCGTAGATGTTTTGGTGAAGACGTGAGGACTTCCCGCCGCGATGGGGTGTTTCCAGGCGAGTACCCTTGTTTCTTACTTCTGCTCGTTCCGAGTCCCCATGAGCTAGGAGTTTCGTATTCGCAGCTGCAACATGTGATCCCTACACATTCGATTCTGCTATTGCCAAGAACAGAGGGCGGATGCTACTTGATGCACAAAATGTGTGACAGACAGACACGTTTTTCACGTGAACGTCTGCCCTTTAAGAAGTTGCTTATTGTGGGTCACGAAGATCCAACTAGAATGATTGCATGCAGTCGCCCTCAAATGCACCACAATCCTAGTCATAGTCACAAGCGCAACCGATCCCCTACTCATAGCAAACCCCTTTGACTTCCATCCGCCCAAACAAGGGCTTCAGATGTGGGTCTGTCTGACTGGCCTGACAGGCTCCATGCCCTCGTTTACATCATTCAGCTGTACTGGAGGCTTATACATGATACCCAACTCGAAATGAGCCTTATCCTAACGCTCCGCGCCCTGAACTGCAAAAGGGTATGTAGGGTGTAAGCCTCTACGTGCTCGCCAGCCTGCTACGCCGTGCAGGCGCTGTTTCGACCTGCGTCGCTGTACATAAGGTGGTTTCTCAATATTGATATCGCTTTGGTACATGTGCTGGGTTTTGGGGCCAAGACTGCACTACTGTGGAACGGTCAAGTCCAACATCAATTTTCTTCGTCGTGCCGGCATCGCGGTGGTAGTGCCTGGGGGTGGCTGCGACAAGGCTAGTTAGATGGATTGTAAATAGGAATGTGCGGCCCCAATCATGGGTGTCTGGCAAAACGCCCATGCATATCCCAGTAACACTCGTACTGATCGTGTTGGGTAATGCAGCGTAGAGCGACACATTCCTTGAGAAGACCCCCATGCACAATAATCCCCAACAGAGCTCCGCGGAAGTGAATACTTCCTGAGAAACTGCCTCTCCCAGCATCCGCAAGTTTGCTAGGGCACTAGAAGCATCAGATGCAAGCATGAGACCAAGAAGCGCTCAGTCCTTTGTCCCTCTTATGGTGTTTTGTTAAATGACAGACGCCAGTAAAGACCCCCACACAGTATAATCCTTAGCATGAGGACCCTGCAAAAGGGACCCTGAATTTGTTGAACCCCCCTCTTCTTCCCTTTGGCTTCAGGATTCAGACTTCAAGCCTTGTTGCTGGTCATTCGGACCCCTGTCGTGTACCCTAGCCACCCACAAAGCCCGAAAAATCCGAACATGCATCATGTAAATGCTCGAACGTTTAGGAACCTAATCTTGTTTAAGCCATAGTTATATACAATTACATACGGTCTACATATCCCAGAGCCTTACTGAAACCGTGTGGCTCCTATTTTACCTTTCAGCCTTCAATGCCAGGGGAAGTCTCTGGAATCGCATGGGCTGGACTTCCATGGGGATCGCTAGACTCCAACTTACAGTTGAGCCGTGATCTACCTCATAGTCCCCCTCAAGTAGATAGAACATGGGGTATATGGGGATCTTTTTGCAAACTATCCAAAGCCATCTTCTATCTACTTAAGGGGGAGTATACATCTGTGGAAGCTACCACAGAAAAGCATGGCCTTGGCAATGGTTTTGTCGTCCCTGGCAAGATATCATGGCAATTCAGGAGCCATTGCAAGTTTCCACATGTGGTATTTGTTCAAAATACCTATCCCCAAAATGGCCATTGGTTAGGACCCCCGGTTTCAGGCATAGTATTCCCAATGTCCCTTCTGTACAAGGACCTTCAGAACAATAACAATTCCCATGCAAATCACCAGAAGGGGAGCCCCCCTCCCTAACGCCCCATATGATCCCAATTCTCCTGGGTTTGAAATCCAACAGTCCGCACCGCCAGCTGCAGCCTGTACAGCTCGGGCAGTCAGACTAGGCAAAGTATGGCGGCTAGCGACTTCACCCAACCTTAACCCAAATGGTGGTGTGTATATAGGGAAGAGTCCCAAACTTGCCTTCACATCAGGATTTGGAAGGGTTAGTACATGCACAGCCAGCTGAACTGAAGCTCTCAGCTATTGTTTTCGCTTCTCCGCCATGGACGGATTGGGGGAAGCTTTGGTCTTGGACAATGGCAGCGGCATGTGCAAGGCGTGGTTAAGAAGTAGCTCAACAGATGTTAGGAAAAGACAACGGAAGCTGTATACTGAAATATCCCGTAATATAGTATAAGATACCATGATATCCTGTAATATACTGTGCTATACTGTTCCATCACATGGGGGTCTTCCCCTTATTGGAATCAGTGTGGAGGAGATCTGAACTTGCTGTAGCTGAGTCGCGGGGTCCACACATGCACGTAGGTTCCAATGAGGGGGGCAGAGGTCAGGGTTTAGGGGTGTAGGGTTTATGGGTTTAGGGTGCATTGGAATACATTCCCCCCTACGAGGAACAGTAATTTAGTAAACTCTTTGTTGGTAGTTCTCACTTTCTTGGCTTCATACGAAAAAAGAATGGTATTGTTTGCATTCCTCTTAATAGTAGTAGTAGTAGTCGTCGTCGTCGTCGTCGTAGTAGTAGTAGTAGTTGTAGTTGTAGCTGCTGCTGCTACTGCTACTGCTATTGCTACTACTACTACTACTACTGCTGCTACTACTACTACTACTACTACTACGACGACTCCTGCTGCTGCTGCTGCTTCTGCTGCTACTGCTTCTGCTATTCCATTCCAACACAAGTCCGGTCGGCCTGTGAACAGCTAAGTGGCGGCGGCTTAGCACCGGCGCATCTGGTGCGCAAAATCCACTGTGGAAGTCAATGCTATCAGTAGCCCTTGAATGACTCCGCAACTATCAAACTACCGTCAGGTGTAGAGGTGGGAGCTATGTACCACTGTACCACTGTACGCCGCGTTGTACAAGTTGCCTACAAGGCACATTGTCTCAGAGCAGCAGTGCCCGTGACGGCTCACTTAGTACCTGCAAGAATTGCTCACAGTGGGCATGAGATTTTTTATTGCTGTCAGATTGATTTGATCAGCTGGAGATTTGCTTTTTTGTCTTCTCACTCTTGCATTTCACGCGTCCCCTAGCGTCCCTCCCCACTCACTGCCACCTGATGATGACCTTCCAAAGCTGCAAAAAGTCTGGCAGTGTAGTGACCTGCATGTGGAGTTGGAGCTGCATGCATGATGGCTGAAAGCACTCTGTAGGTGACATATGAACATTGCAAGGTATCGTCATCAAAGACTGGGATGGTCAGGGTAGGCTCAACAATGACTGGGGTGGTGATTTTGCGCGTGGCATCGTCTTGCCTGCAGAAGCGTGAGATTCTCAGCATAAGCAGTGTCGGCAATTCACGAAAAGCCTGCATGCCTAACTGCTACTGCTACTGCTGCTACTCCTCCTCCTGCTGCTGCTGCCCATTACAACCACTACTTCTAGTACTACTACTACTACTACTACTACCACCACTGCTACAACAACAACTACGACTACTACGACTACGGCGACGACGACTACGACTACTACTACTACTACTGCTACTACTCCTGCTGCCGCTGCCCGCTACTACCATTATTACTACTACTACTACTACTGCTACAACAACAACAACAACTACGACTACTACGACTACGACGACGACGACTACTACTACTCCTCCTGCTACTGCTATTGCTACTGCCACTGCTGCTGCTACTGCTACTGTTACTGCTACTGCTGCTGCTGCTGCTGCTACTGTTACTGCTACTGCTGCTGCTGCTGCTACGACTACTATCATCATCTTGCAGATCTACACTTTCCCCTCCTCCGTGCCTCGTTGCTGCTACTAGTCGCCATTATTCCTGTGTCTTCTGTGCTGCTATTACCTCCTCTCCCTGGAGTCTTCGCTTTGAATTGTGTTTCAGCAGGCTACGAGGAGGTAGGTTGCGGCGTATTCCTTCTGATCAAGTGCCAGGGCATGACCAACCATTCTCGCACTCTAGTCCTAGAGCCCCCGCAAGCCTTACATTAAGACCCAGGCCTTTAACCCTTCAAGCACCAAGCAACCGAGGACCTGCACTGGGGCATTGCCGAAGCTACTACAATCGCATAAGGAATCTAAAGATATGCATCTTCAATGATGCAAAATATCCCAGAAAAGAACGAGATCTCCGTAGTGATCCCATAACCCGCTATAATATCACCTTTATTTCCCTACCCACCCTCCCTTAAGCACCCTGACCTTACGCCATAGCCATCTTCTTTTCCACTCCCGCTTACGCACCCTAAGACCTAGACCCAGATAACACAGTAGTTTCCGTTCTCTTTCACATACCCGCTTGGGCTCCCAATAGAAAGGTACGCTCTTGTGACCCCAGTTTCGCACAGGATTTTTCCAGTAATAACCCGCCCACCCCCCGTAATGAACCTCCACCCTCACATAAAGTGGCAGGACTATTTGTGGGGGGGACTTATTATTAAAAGGGAGGGGGGTTCCTAACCTAGGTCTCTACCCCCAGGTCGGCTTCGCAGGTGGAGAAACGCCGCGGGCGGTTTTCCCTTCCATCGTCGGGCGGCCGAGGGTGCGTCGCTTGGGCGTGGGTTTGGGATTTGTTTGGATTTGAGGTTTAGGGTTTGGTGTATGGCGGGTGTGTAGCAGTTCAGGGAGATCTTGCATTTCTCAATATGAAGGTTCCCCTAAAATGCTTCGAAGCAATGGGAGACACCTCGTTTTGACAAAGCCCGTGACTTCGAAAGTGGCCAAATGTCAGAATTCTCGATAAATTCTTGATAGGAGGGCATATTCACCCTGTAACTCGTGGACTCATGGCTCCATGGTGCAAACTATGCCTGTTGAATCTGAGGTGCGTGCATCATTGGCATGGATTATGAGGCGTGGCGCAGGGTTGAGGGCTACATCAGTCCCTACTTTCCTGCTCGTTGCCGTGCGTCACCAGAATTAATTAGCAAAGGGCTGCCAGCTAATCTCGGAGTCAGAAAATGACGGTGACGGGATCCGATGTTGGAAGGCTTATTCTCACTAGGTGTTAGTTGGAATGGCGAAGCATATTCGCATAGCATCCCCTGTATCCACCCAATGCTATGGTAGCTTCCATTTTCTTTTCCATTCAACTAGTAGTTTTCATTTTCTTTTCCATTCTCCCATTCCCTACCCGAAGCCCTTAACCCTAGATACCCCAATAGTTCGCATGTTCTCTTCCACTCCTACATTCCCTACTAGCCTCCAATAAGTATTGTAGCATGGCATCTCGCAGCTTCAGGGCTCAGTTCTTGGATACATGTATATAAGGGCAAAAAGGGGAATGGAAAAGAGAATGGAAACTATTGTAGTATATTGGGGTTATATAGGGGGAATGTAAAAAATGGAAACTATTGTAGTATATTGGGGGCATATAGGGGAATGGAAAAGAAAATGGAGACTATTGTAGTAGATTGGGGGCATATACGGGAATGGAAAGAAAATGGAAACTATTGTAG